TACTGTTGAAGATCACACATTTTAGGTTTGAGTAAAGTTTAATGGCAAACCAATCGAAGTTGAAAAGGGAACTTTTTTTTATTTTGTCCAATATATATATTATATATAATATAATATTATTATATTATATTATAATATGTATTATATATTATATTATATTATATTATATTATATATATTATAATATATTATATATAATAAAAAAAATATTATAATATATTATATTATTTTATGTAATATAAGATATATATATATATTAAAAATAAATATAAAATACAGTATATCATATATTATAGTATGTTAGAAATATTATATATTTCTATTTAAATTATTATCTATGTAAATATAATTATAAGATATTGACCTTATATCCCAAGAGTTATCAAACACAGAAACTATGAAATTTTTAACTTCCCATGGAGGTTATCAAACACAAAAACCATTGACTTCTTAAATAACTTCTAATTTACCGTTCTTCAGTAACTTCCAATTTCCAGTTCATATTTTTGCTTCCTGTTATCAAACACGCCCTAATGGAGACATAAAAATATAGAGGGTTTTTCCCATAATAGACATTGATTGAGAGAGATTATCTGAATATTTATTCAAAATTAATATTTTTTGTATTTTTAAGCGGGTGAGAAGCATGAATACCCAAATTTTAAGCTTTAATAAATGCATAAAAAAATAAAATTAAAATACAATACATGCCAAAAGTGGGACCTATATACAATATGAAATATTTAAGACATTTTTAAATGAGATTATATACCCATTTACTTTTAGTACGCGCAATCATTTTTAGCCATTAGATGTGAAATTCAATATAATAAAGTGTGTCATAGTAGTCAAATATTTTCATTTTGACCTTTGTGCCCAATCAATGACATATCTTCAATGATTGATTTAACATCAAATGGACAATAATGATTTGAACTTCCTTGTTTAAAAGATAACTAGTCTCATGGTATATATTTTATTTTAAAATTGAAAAAGTATTCAAATAAACCATTTACTTTTGTTAAAAGGATGTCACAAACAGTTTTCTCTATCATATTTCAAATCAAATGGTTGTAAGAGTGTCATTAACTGGACTCAAAGTTAAAAGAATATTTTTCAAACTTTGTGACATACCTCTAGTCATCTAATTTGACATCTAATGGCTAGGAGTAATTGTGACTTCCTTGTAACAAAAATAAATGATCTCATAGTATATAATCCCTTTTAAAATTCATAAAATATGAGATATTCACAAAAGTTTTTCATTTATTTTCTTAAGAAAGTAGAACCTTTTAGTTGAATCATACATGGTTGGACGAACTTTTTGACATGTGGCCATCACATGTTAGTATTTTGGTTTTGAAAAATACTATGTGTATTTCAAAATAACAATATAGGTTTTTTGTGGTTTTCATAAGCAATGTTTTATAGAGACGGAAAGCTGTGGGTTTTTAGTCCCACATTGAAGAAAATAGAATAAATACGTGGTATTTAAGTGTAGGTATTTGTTATTTTGTGGTTTTTCATAAGCAGTATTTTGTAGAGAGGGAAAAATGTAGATTTTTAGTCCCACATTGAAGATAAGAGAGTAAATACGTGGTATTTAAGTGTATGTATTCTTATACCTTATACTCTAGTACAACTGTGAGAGATGGTGTATGTATGGAGCAGCACTTTACATTGGTACCTGTCAGGCTCGAGGCTCTTTTTGTGAGCATGGCTCATATGGGATGTCGAGTTGTTGATGAGATGGAGACCTCTAACAACCCCCTTTAAGGGGGTGCATATAACCACCTTATATTAAACATACATCATCCTTGTAGCTCTATAAAATGGGGTCTTTTTCCCATACGAGATAGAGACTTGGATAAAGACATTTGCCATATGAGTTATAGTGAAAGAAACTCTCTTTGTACCTCTTCTATTTAAAAAAATCCAGAGAACATAATATAGTTCTCATCTCTCTCTCTACTCCCTTTTTGTCTCTTTCTCTCTATAAACAACACTAGACTCCACTGCCTACTATGGATTCTTCAAACTCAGGTGTATAAAGCTTTGGAGCAACAAAGAGACCTCTATGTTTTCTTGTATCCTGATGATAAATTACCCTTCCTATGCACAACATTTATAGTATCAAAGGGTGCAAATATTATATTGAGATAGCATTCATGCGTGCCCGAAAACAAGAAGGAAGCAATCTTCTCTTTCCTTTGTATTATCTTTTGCCCCTATTTCTCCCAACCATATTCTAACAATCAATACGATATTTATGGGTGAAAACAAATAAACTGTTATGACTTCCTTGAAAGTCATGAACAACGATTTTATAAGACTCGAACGCTTCAACGGGTTAAATTTCAAGAGATGACAACAAAATGTCATCTTCTTACATACTACTCTCAAATTGGCTTACATAGTCACTGAATATATGTCTGCAATGTAGCCTCCATCCGAAGATTCCACTAACCTTTGTAAAGAAACGCCAAATCCCAAAGATAAAACATGGACACGCTATTTGACACTCCATAGGAATGTTGTATGCATTTCAAGAATTGTCAACACGCATGTCCGTCCACCAAGTGTCGAAGCGTAGTCAGACCCTCGGACATGTGTGTCCATGTTACATAGGTTTGACCTTAATCTTTAAACATATACTATTTTTATTTTAATAAATAATTTTAAAAAAGCGTTTTTTAAGCCACTTAACATGTTTGATGTGGTGATTATCCAAAATCACTCATATAAAGAAATCTCATATTATGTGGGATTTGGATTGATATTGATAAGTTTCCTAAAAGAAATAGAAATCTAAAAAGATTAGGTGTCTTGGGTATATCTTTTGGTTTTTTAGATATATGTAGCGGGAAAGGTTTCTATACTTTCCCTACAGCATAGTAGATTTATGCTTCCCTTACCAGCCAATCATCCAATTTTGATCAAGTGAGCCACTCAAAGTTTGATCCTAGATTTTAATTTTTAATTTTTTTAATACAAATTATATGAATATAAAATTTGGTACATGCTATCTCCTTATTGGGGAGCACCTACAATAATATATGTATCCTATTTGGGTCAATATACGGGACATGTGACTCCCCCTTAGAGAGGGAGAGGTAGGGGCCTCAGAGGCAAGGCCTACCCTTAGACAAAATAGAGCTTCTTATAGATAGAAACACCATGTACGTACCTTCTGTAGATTGGGAAGTTGGTTTATTGTAGAGTAACGGTTCCATGAAGATTTTCGATGGTCTCTCCTTTTAATGACATAAAGTGTTAGTTGTTGTTAAAGTTCTCTTCTTGAACAACGGTTTAGCTATGGAATAGAGATGGGTCTCTTCCTAGTCGGTGACTTAACTGTGGAATAGAGATGAGAGATTGTCGGGTCGTGTCGATTGGAAGAGCGGGTCTAAAAGGGTTTTGCTTGACCACGTAAATCTTTACGATTTTCTCTTTTTTAATTTTTCTACGCTATTTTTCTTTCCATTACTTTTGCCAAACCTTGATTTTTATCCTTTATATTAACACATGCCACCCATTTCGTGAGATGCTTAGATATAGTCTTTAGAAGAAACATTTTCCTTTTCTAAATTTTGTAGATGGCTTTGGTTTTATTAAGTTAACAATATTAAAATAGAAAAAACTAACTTTGAATTCCTTAATGACTAGATCTTAAAATTCACCAAATGGACGGTCGAGATTCATTATTAAAAAAGGGCTCATTGTGACCATATGTAAGCGGCGAATAGAATTTTATTTTATTTAGATTGATTACTGGGATGAAGTAAGTGGCTATGCAAAATTTAGGGTCATACAAAGGTTAGAAGATGGTTTCTATAGGTGTGATTTTAGACACTATCAGATGAAAGTACTTGGTTTCCAATTGTAAATGGACCACTATTGGACCTGGCTTAGCTATACTAAGAGACCCGGCCCATTCGATCTAAAGCCACTCCTTTATTCAGAGAAGGGGTGGCAATCGACCCGACCAAACCCTGGTCTCGACAGGTAGATCCGACATCGGGTTTGGGTATGGATTTAATTTTTGGACCTGATGGGTCGGGTCTGGGTCCAAAACTTGGATCTAAGCACTATTCTAGTCATAGTTTAGCTAGCCTCGACCCATACCAACAGTAAACTGTTGGAAATAAAACATTTTACTTTAAGGCCTATTTGTTTGGATATATTAAAGATCATGTACAATAAAAACTCGTAGTCATATTTAGCTATTAAACGCCAAATAAAATAGTTTGAAATATAATGGCAGGTGATTGTGACATTGTTGTCAATAATATAGATATATGATAATAAAAGAAAAGTAAAAAAAAAACAGACCCAAGATCTAATGAATTGACCTAAGACTCGATGGGTTTGAGTTTAGGTCTAATTTTGGACCCACTAGATAAGGTATGTGTCCAAAACTTAAACTTGAATACTATTCGAGGCCGGATCCAAGTCCGGGTCCAGCTAGACCCAACCTGTTGCCACCCTAATTCAGAGGAGCAAATCGGATATTTCTTCCTTCATAGCGAGCATCCCCGTTCAATCCTGCGGACATCTCTCGTGATATAAAGTAACATGTTTTCTTCTCTCTCTAGATTTGACTCGGAGTTTTGTGTATTTTTTCTCTCTCTAAACCAGCCCGCTATTTTTGCGTCCCTATCCCGGCCTATCAAAGCGAGTTTGTGTTACTCTCAAGTCTAAGCCACTCTTTTCTCTCTCTAAACAGAGCTTGTGTTACACCCGCCATTTTTATCTATGTAGGTTGCGGAAACCCATGAAATCCCCATTTTCCTATTTCTCTCTCTAATGAATTATAAAAATGGCAGTTGAATACCCAAGTGCCCTAATTCAAAAGATCAAAACACATCTCAGAAATGGGGCTGGTTTGTCGTCTTATGATCCCAGTGCCTCTGATATCTCTAGTTTTGCCTCTTTGGACCGAACAATCTCTAGTTTTAACCCTTCTCCCGCATATCTGAGATGCATAAAATGCCAAGGATGGTTACCCAGAGGTTTGAGGGCTCACAATTGTATGTTTTGTGGAGCTCAACAGAGGAGGCCTGGTTTAGATTCGACAATTCGGTTTGGTTCGACTCATAGTTATCGGAGATTTCTCGATTCTTTTGGGCTCAATAGATCTGTGAGTCTTTGGGTTTATAGTGTTTTCATTCAATTGAATTTGAGAATCACCATTGCAATTCAGTAGTTGTTTCTTATCCTTTTTCTCTCTCTTTTTTCTCCTTTTTATTGTAATTTATTTGCAAATATTGGAGTTGGCATTGTAGTGGGTAATAAGAATTGGGTTCTGTTCTGCTTGGGTTTTGAACTTGAAAGCGAAATGGCAATCATCATCATCAAAGCCTTATCCCCACTAATTGGAGTGAGTGACTGTTCCACCTTTCCGCTCAATCAAGGGCCATACTGAAAGCAAAATGGAAATACCCATTTCAAAATTTTCTCTCTTTTAATACTCTGTGGGCAATCAATTCAATGAAACATAGACCAATTAACTAGGAGCAAATTTAGATATTGAAATAGAAATTGAAGTGGCAATGTAAATGAAACAATGTAATTCCTTATTCTTTTTTTTTAGGTTTTTTAATCGACAACCTTGATAAAGAACACAATCTATGTTATGATTTTTGACATTCATGTGTGACAAATGAATAAAGAAATTAGTTTTTCTTGCAATAAGTGTTGGTCTAGGGTTTTTTTTCTTGTCTATAGTGTTAAGGATTAGTAGTGCAGTGGATGAGGCTTGATGTGTTGTCTGGCGTGATGGTTTCCAAGGTATTTCTTAGAGAAATTTTTTCTTTTTGATGAAACTCTATATTGCAGGTTATGAATTCGATGTAGTGCTCAAGAGTGTGATTTATTACTAATTGAAAAGAAGGTATGGTGACTGGTTATTTAGTAGCTTGCAGATGCATATTTATGACAAGTGTTGGAATATTAGGCCTAAGGGAAATAGGATCTATAGAGTGATGATTTTTGGCATTGTTTTGTTTTTTTTTTAATATGTTGACTGTATTGAACTGACAGTGAGTACAGAATGTGGGAGGAGAGGGGGACAGGATACCCACAGACAGTTCTGCCCAAAAAATAGGCAACCCACAAATGGGTGCCCTGTACAAAACCAAGGGTATATCAGAAGCTTTACATGAATCGAGCCATTATATCAATTCCAATATGTGATAGGAACTCGAGCAGAGGTTCCCTAAGGGTTGCTTAGGTTGGCTTGAGACAAGGTTGTTGCTAGGGAATCATCCTCATCATTTTCTTCTCTCCAACCATGATTCCAGGAGATTTGTAGATTCTTTGTCAGTTGATAGATTTCTTCGAATGTTTTGTCAAGTTTCCAAGGCTAGGGGGCAGTGCCTGAGGCCCAGGCTATAACACTGTAAGAGTCGCCTTCAATGGTTACATATGGGCCCCAGCTAGTGTCTAACTTCTTGAGGCCTTCCTGGAGAGCAGAGGCCTCCGCAATTGTTGAGTTAGAGACACCAATGGGAATAGAAAAGGAGCAAAGGGTATTGCTGTTGTGGTCACGGAACTAGCCACCTATGTTTGCATGGCCTGAGTTTTTGTGAGAACACCCTTCAAAGTTAAGGGTGATGTGGCCCACTTCGGGTGGTCTCCAAAGGGAAGAGCGTGATGGCCTCTGAGTTTTGAAGGAGAGAATGGGTGTCCAGCCGTGGAGAAAGTCAGAGTGGGAAAGGTTTTTGAACTGTTGGTGGTGAGTGGCCCAGAAGATTACTGCTTCTCTGATCTTTTCTACTAGTGCAGTCACCGGAGATGACTGGCTTCGAAAACATTTGGCATTTCTCTTGGTCCAGATTGTCCAAAGGGTGGCAGCTACCGAGGCCTGCCAAAACAGGGTGCCAGCCTGAGGCCAGGGGGTTGAGAAGGTAGAACTGATGAGATGAGGGACATCAAGTGGAGCCACCCACTGCCATTGGAATAACTAAAGGATGTCAGCCCAAATAGACAAGGCTACCTTGCAATGGATGAAGAAGTGAGCATTGGTCTCCTCGTCCTCAGTGCACATAAAGCTTCTATTTGAGATTTGGAGACCCTTTCTCTGCAATTGATCCACGGTAAGGGCTCTCTCGGATCTAGCTATCCAATTGAAGAATTGAATCCTGGGGGGAACCAAAGGGGTCCAAACTTTGTTTACAATAAAATTGGGGCAAGCAGGGGGGCTTCTGGAATGAGCTAGAGAAGAGTAGAAGGAGGCCAACGAGAAGGAACCCGAATGGTTGGGGGTCCAAATGAGGCTATTTTGGCCTTGAAGGGGCAGGAAGATAGAGTTTAGAGTGATGGAAAGGGCTGTGAATTCCTGAAATTATGGATCCGAGAGTAGTCTTTTCAGGGTAGGACTCCACACCCTCCTATTGCCCATCAGCTGAAACTAGGATTCCACAATTGCATTAAAGTCACTATCCAATAGGAAAGTCTAGGGTATAGGTCTTTAAGGCAAGTATCAATCCAGAACAGTGTTTTGTCGCCCTGCCTAGGCCTGTACTTGATCATGGACTGAAAGTGTGGGTAAGAACGCAGTATGGACTTCTATATCCCTGAGGAGTTGCTCTGCGCTCATCGGGAGGGTACCCAAGAGGGGTCAGAACTGTGGTATTTCGAGTTGATCACCTCCTGCCATTGATGGTTGTTTTGGGTAGCTAAGCGCCACCACCATTTCCCAAGTAGAGCAAGATTATTTTCTGAGGGTTCGAATGCCCAGCTCCCCTAGAGATTTAGGTTTGCAGACATTCTTCCAAGATATAAGATGGATCTTCCTAAATCCTAACCCCATTATTGGACCACAAAAAGTTTCTCATTAGCTGCTCAAAACGATGGGCCACCGAGGCTGGCATATGAAAAAGTGACATCTAAAATATAGCGGTGCTAGAGAGTGGCTTTAATCAAAGTAAGGCAGACTGCTGGAGATAGGAATCTGCCTTTCCCTCCTGCCAATCTGCAGTCATATTTGTCAATGATATGGCTCCAAAGATTCAGTCTAGGCTTACCTATGCAGAGGGGCAGTCCTAGATATGTGGAGGGCAAGTCTTCCGGCGAGCAGCCCCCGCTTGAAGCAAATTTTTTCACGATAGAAGGGTCCAATGCCACACCACTCATCTTCGATTTGACCTTATTGACCTTAAGTCCTGTGGTCATCTCAAATAGCTTGAGGAAAAGATGAAGAGTGTTAAGTTGTGCCTGATATGCCTCACAAAACAAGGTATTGTTGGCATATTGTATGTGAGTGATCAATGGTCCCCAGTTGCTGATCTTGAATCCTTTGAGGAACCCACCCTGGTAAACTCGAGAGATTGATCTGCTGAAAACTTTAGCTACGATCGCGAATAAAAAGGGAGAAAGAGGATCTCCCTGGCGGAGTTCCATGGAGGATGGAAAGAAACCTATGGGAGATCGATTGATAAGAATGGAGAAGTGTGGGCCTGAAATGCAACCTTTGATACAAACTCTCCATCGACTATCAAAACCCATGCGATGGAACGTCTCATCAAGGATGGACCAATCAACATGGTCATAGGCTTTCTCCCAATGGAGTTTGATGATTAAACTGGGTAACTTGGCACGATGTCGAGAGTGGATGGCCTCATGAACAACGAATGCACCATTGAGAATTTGACGCTCTTTAACAAAAGCTCCTTGAGTTGGCGAGATCACTGAGCTAAGGACCTCTTGCAGTCTCGAAGCGAGCACTTTGGCAAGAATCTTATAAGAGCTATTGATCAAGCTAATAGGTCTAAAATCTTTGAGTTCTTCCGCACCTTCGACATTAGGAATGAGCGCAATGAAAGTGGCATTCATTGCCCTTGCCGAATGCCGATGAATGATTCCTCTAGAATGGAATTCATGGAAGAAGGCCAGAATATCCTCCTTTAAGGATTCCCAAAAAATCATGAAGATACGATTGGGAATCCTTTAGGACCCGACCCGGGGCTCGTTCTGGCCAAGATCTGAGATTGCCTTTCAGATTTCAGACTCTTCAAAAGGTTTTTCAAGCCAACCATCAGAAGAGGGAGAGATGGTTTGGAAAGAAAGATCATCCAATAAGGGTCTAGGGCATTGAGGTGCCTCAAAAAGTTTTTGGAAGTACTCAGTGATTGCATCTTCGATCAAAGGAGGTTGATCAAGCGTAGTATCTCCCACTCTAATCTGAGTAATGGTATTATCCCTTCTTCTACAGTTGGCTATTTTTTGAAAAAATTGGTGTTGAGGTCACCGTGTTTAAGCCATTTCACCCTTGATCGCTGGGCCCAAAAAATTCCTCTTTCTTTAAGAGGAGTTGGAGTTCAAACTTGGCCTCGGATCGGAGGGATCTCTCATTATCTGCAAGAGGACAAGTATCCTCTGGAAAGTCCCACAATTGGATTGAATGGAGAGAAGAGGCTTTTTGGGACTGAAAATTTCATGGCAGCAGAGCACTCCAAGCTTTAAGAGAACCCTTAAGACATTGAAGCTTCTTTTGGAGCTGATACCCTGCCCATCCGTGGACTTGGCTAGAGAAAGAGGTCCACCACGTGTGAAAAAGGTTATTGAAATTATCCTCGTCTAACCAAGCCAGCTCGAATCTGAAGGGTTAGGATGGACGAATGACTGGAACGGTGTCTAACATGATAGGGCAATGATCCGAAGTGGGCTTAGGGAGGGTAATAGAATGTGAACCAGGAAATTCAGCATCCCAGTCCGAAGATATAAGAAACTGATCTAGTTTTGAAAGGGTGGAGTTCATGGAGTGGTCTGACCAGGTGAAAGAGGCCCCCTGGAGGGGCATGTCAATCAGTTCTAACCTTGAGAGCATTTCAGAAAATTCTGTCATCGATTGAGAGACCATAGAGTTAGAATTTCGCTCGATGACCATCTTGGGGTATTGAAATCTCCGCCAATGCACCAACAATGTGGAGGGACCAAAGCCTCAAGATTCAGTTCATCCCAGAACCGTGGTCTAATTGAAGACGAGTTGGGACCATAGACAGCAGTGATTTCCAGGAAAAGGAGTCGGAAACTCTCAAGAGGGAGATGGAAACCGAAAATTCACCAACTCTAGAGGATAACAAGTTGGGAAGGGTTGGGTCTCATATGACCCAAATGCCACCCGATGCCCCTAGAGCATCTATTGCCACCCACTGACATGGTCTAGACCCCCAAACCTGTCGAATGAGGGAGAGGGAGGGCCCAGGGAGTTTAGTTTCAACCAGGGCTAAAACAGAGGGGGAGTGAGAGGAAGCGAAATTGTGGATGTGCCTGTGTTTTGTTAGAAAGAAAGATGCATTTGATTCAGCCAAATGGGCTGCAGTTGCCTCCATTTTATGTGGGAGCATGTCATTTACAATATATGGGAAACTGCTGTGGCTTAAACTGGTTGTCTGCATGTTTCAGATATTGAACGATTTGGTTACTTTAGTTCAATGGAATGATGTGAGTTTGAGGGGGGAAAATTCAAATTTGGATCCTTTACCACTTTCTGGTTTGATTCGCATTCCTACACATATTTGTGAATTCTAGTCAGTGTGTAAAAATCTGTTATATGCTTCATTGTCTAGGGTGCTCTATATTCCTAGACACCTTCTATTCAGATGAACCACGGTCGTGTTTCTATGGAGCCTTTCCTATTACTGATATGCAGTTTCAAAGGCTGAGAGAGTAGGAAAGATGTAGACAATGTTGTTGTGGCGTAGCTTCTTTAATTTTGTTCTATTAGGTTGTGAGGATTCTCCCTTACACCATATTTTTACGCATGTTGTTACTATGTATGTTTACAATCCATTGCTTGTAAGTGCATGTTTGTTTACAATCCATTGCTTTTTTTTTTGAGGAAACAATCCATTGCTTGTAAGTGTGCTTTCCTTTGGTAGGTTGAATTATGTTGAATTACGTGTTTTGGTAGAAATTTGATATATAATTTACATCCATGCACAGCCATCTACAAGTACATATAACAGCTCATATTAGGATTGGGAAACTTGACTATGTGTCATAAAAATTTGACTTATATTAAAGGATGCGACTGATGATGTTTCTTGAAAAGTTACTTGGTCATAAACATCATACAGCTCTATTTAGAAAACATTTCTCTTTTAGCGTGAATGTATTTTGATCAATGTCTTCTGCCACATTGCCATTTTACTTGTTGGATTTAGTTATTCCTTGTCCTGGCTAGGGACGAATAACAGCAAATCGTTGACAAGATAAACGAGGCGAATAGGCTGCGAAGAACAAGTTAAGGCCACAGTGATTTAGTGTGCAAGATCTAGAAAGGAGTTTTGGAGATTTTCCGTGGCTGACTTTGAGTTTCAATGGAAGGAAATTGGTCAGACAAAGTCAAAGGAAGTAGATCTAAAAAGTGGAACTTGCCACCCGAGGGATGGTTAATTGAACTTCAAAGGAAGTTAGTTGGGGGATGTAGGGCCTGCAGGCATCAGGCATTGGGATAGAGGGAGAGTGTTGATATCTTATTCAGTCCCCTTGTTAACAAAAGCAGAGTTCTGATCACTATTATATGGGCTTAGAAGCATGCATTCAAAATGGCACTCAATCATAGTAGAGGGGGATTCAAATGGACGAATATCCTTGGTGACTCTGTAATGTGTTTGAGGAATTTCGGGCACTCATAATCATAAATGATGTTCAAACTTTCTTCGACTATGTATGGCATAAATCTAGTGAGGAAGCCATTTCTCTGGTCAATGTGGAGTTGCCAAAGCAGAACTGGTGGTAACATTGCTTGATGATTAGGGTATATTTTAGATTATAGTTTCCGTAATCTTCATTTTGGACATTGAAAATATGTACATATATTGGTGCATCAATATGGGTAATGACAAACAGTTAACTAAAAAAATATGTATAGATTATTAGCTGGTAATTTGCATCTGCTACCGTGGTGGCATTCGTTGGATAGTCTAGCTCACAGAGATCCATGGAAAGTGAAATATGTCAAATTCATGTAATGTTTGGATTTTCTTTGCTATCTTACCAATGATCCTTGGAAAGTTGTTCAACTATATTGAATCTCTAATGCCAAGAAAACATATTTTGATCATGGATCACTCCACCACAATATGACTAGTACTTAGTAATCATATGAATTGGCAAGTGAAGGTCCAACTTTCTAAAACATGATACATGCATTGTACATACAAACATGCATACGTACATGCATGCATGCATGCATGTTGTATGCATGTATGCATGCATGTTGTATGCATGTATTCATGCACGCATTGAGAATCCAAACTTGTAGTTCTTTTCCAGAGATTCTGCAGCTATTCTTTGCATGTCTGGTGTTTTATTTGGAGCTTTATGTATTGTAACATCCTGATGTTCAGAAGTTAGGACATTGTAAAGATAGGTAACAAGCATGTTGCACACACATGCGCACACACCACGCATATACATGAGGTAGATTTATCACTTCCTGGCAATGTTAAGAAATGTATCGATATCTTTGGCAGGAGGCTGTTCCTTTAGTTATTGAAGCTCATGATCCCCAAGAAGGCCAGAGTGCATCAAAGGAGGATTTAGTTAGGTTTGATCTGTCAGATTTGCAATTGAAGTGGCCAGAGGAAACAGAAGATATTGAAAATAGCAGCACAAAGAACATAGCCCCACCAGTTTTAAATACAAAACCTTTGAACCTGGAAGGAGTTGACCTAGATAACTTTTTCTCTGGACCGCAAACACAACCAGGTCCCTCCAAGGCAGATGATCAACAGGTGAGCAATGGGCAGGTCAGCGATGCCAAAAGTCACTTGCCTTCTCAGACAAGTGTGGGTGTAGTGGAAAATAGGATTGGTTCTTCTCACACAGAGAATCCCGGATTAACTAATGCAGTTGAGAGAGAGAATCCATCATCTTCTTGGGAGGCTGATTTTAAGCCTGTGGGTTCCGAATCTCTTAATATAGAAACCTCACAAGTGGACCCATTTTTTGCTTCTACAAGCATAACCCAGAATCTCATGACTTCTGCTCAGACCAACGATGGTATCATCGAACCCCAGAGAGATTCTTTTCATGCAAAAAATCCTGAATTAGCTAATGAAGGAGAAGACAGAGAGAACCCATCATTTTCTTGGGAAGCCGAATTTCAATCTGCAACTGTGGAACCTCTAAACATTGAAGGCACGCCAGTGGACCCGTTTTCAGCTTTCACAAATTTAAGCAAAACAGAAGCACTTATTGGTGACTCTAATCCAGGAGTAGACGCAGGCAACCCAGTGGAGCCATTTTCAGCTTCCACAAATTTAAGCCAAACAGAAGTACTTAATAGTGACTCTAATCAAGGAGTAGACCCATTTTCAGCTTCCACAAATATAAGCCAAACTGAACTACTGATTAATGATTCTAATCAACGCATGGACACATTTTCAGGTTTGACGAATATTGTCCAAACTGAAGTACAGACCAGAGACTCCAATCAAGTGTTTTCCTTGGAGAAGAGCTGGGTTGAAAGTGACCTTTGGCGAAGTGCTAGTGTTGAAGTCTCAAAGGAAGTCAAGCCTGTGACTGAAAATGATGATTCATTTGATGATTGGCAAGATTTTACTGGCTCGGTGAGTGCTCCAGATCCTTTAAGTGCTTGGCAGAAAACAAGTGGTTCAAAATATAGAGAAGATTCTAAGAGTATGAATTTTGACGGCTTCACAAATGATTCTCAAGAAACTCAGATTGATAATTCTGTTGGTTTGGATATCTTTCCTGGAGTGTCAAGCACTCCAAATGGTAATATTGATGCGAGATCTGCAGAGATTGAGGCTTCTACCATTGACAGGTACATTGTGCTTCATCCTTTTTGGTAGTTTTTGTAGCTTGCTCGGTTACAGAACTTTCACACTTTGAATGATTCATTGTGACCCACTACTATGCATCAAAGATACATATTAAATAGAAAACCTGAGAAATTTTTTGTTAGATGTAGTTGAAATGCAGGATGTCTTATTCTTTTTTTTAATAATGAAATGCAGGATGTCTTTATGCTTTTTATTTATTTATGTATTTACGAGAAGGACCCGGTTCCTATGCGGCCAAGCCCGCATATGTAGAAATGCGGGCCTATTAATAAATCTATTTTTGAGATGGATTTTTGGACTTAATTTTTAAGGACATGTAATCTCTAACATGGAGATCATGAATATGAAAAAATAAGTAAATTTAAAAACTAGAAAAAATAATTCTAGTAAGAAAACATTTGGACTGTTAGTTTCCATTGTTTTTAGATGGAACACCTACTTGCATCCATCTTTAAGATGGATGCTTTACACTTTTATTATCTGTTTACAAAACATCACCTTAAGAAGAATTCTATTTTAAAAAGGATTGTTTACAAAAATACCATTTATCTTTTGTGCATGGAGGTCATAATCATTTTCATTCATTAGATGTCAAACTGGATGGCTTGGGGTGAGTCACGCAGTCCGAGAATTATTTTTTGGAACTTTGTGTCTATTCAATGACACTCTTACGACCACCCATTTTGAAATTTATGGAACAATAACGATTGTGACCGTCATGTACAAAAAATAAATGGTTTTTTTGTAGACAATTCCATTTTAAAATGAGAGGCTCATGAAACTAGAATCTGAAGTTGTATATTCTTGCTTTTTTATCTTCTTTTGAATAAAGTTCTTTTTCGTTACATAGATTGAGATTTGGGCATAGATTGATCTGAAATCCATACTCAGGTTCAACTTTGAGGGATTCGAATCGATATCAGGTGTAGAAACCAGAAGTGAAAGCAACAAAAATTCATTTGCTGCGAACAAATCTGAAAATGCAAATTACATGGTGCAAACGCTGTTATCAGAGATGCCAGACCTTTCATTCATGCTTGAAGACAAGCTTTCCATTCCAAAGAAGACTGATGCTTCTGGTTGAATATGGAGCGCGGTGCAATCATGATTTTGTGTAACATTACCTCTTTCAGTGATTTCATCTCTCTATTTCCCTGTTAATTGAGGTTGAAATCTCGATTTGTATAATCATTTTATTACGTTTTGAGTTCTGAATTCCGAGGTTCATTGTGGGGTAACAATCATCATTATCAAGTTGTTGGTTTCAAAGATTGTTTTCACCTCTGTTTTGTGGTTGTGGGGGAAATTATCGTTTTCACACCATTTTTTGTTGGTGAGAAATTTCGTGAGAAATATCTCTCTTCTAAAAAATTAGGGGAAATACCATTTAAGGGGTAAGGATCCGTTACAAAATCATTAGAGGTAAAAAGTGTCAAAACATCGCAAATAACATTAGGACTGTTGGGATCCTTGGAAAACAACTATCATGAAATAGTTTTTCGGGGAGATTGTCCATTTCTGCCATTTGGATCAAAATCTAGGATGAAATCTTTTTTCTGCTTTCTCTATTTTGAGCAACCTAAAACACAGAAATTGTTTTTCTTCCCACAAACTTAAAAAATAATTTTCTTGTCAGATTTCCTTGTGGAGCCAATTAAAACAGGCACATAGCTTATTTGAGCTTAAAAAAAAAAAAGGAATCTCTATCCATCTCTCTCCTTGCCAACCTACTCTCCCTCTTCTTGCTAATCCAACTCCCCTTGACCCATCTCTCTCTCCTTGCTAACTCAACTCCCTCTCTCTCTCTCAAAAATCATTGTCTTTGTTTCTCGTAGCTCTCTCTGGCCTTTCTTGTTCACAGAAATCTCTTTCTACTTCCATTTTGTTTTAGGCATTTCCTTCTTTCCATCTCTACCTTGTAGTCTCCTCTCATTTAATACCCTTTTTTAGGTAGAAATGTATTTTTCATGTTGTATCCATATGCTATCTAAATAACAATAACTTCTTATTGAGAAAATATCTTTGTCTTTTATTTTTATATTTTATTTTTTCATAAACCCGAGGTTTTAAAAAATATTTTCTAACCTTTGGCCACTTTAAACTTATTTTTTAATTTAAACAAATGTGAGAAAGACATATTCTTTCTAAACTCAATCATTTCTCTCACTTCACTTATATATCTCAAACTTATATTTTTCTCTCTCTTCGTGTGTCTTTCACTCTCTCTCTCCTATATTTCTCGTAACCCTCTCTCTCTATTCTCAGTAACCTCTCACCTCCATGAATCCCTTCTCTCTCTAGATGTTTGGAAGGATGACTTTTAAAAAATGTATATCTTTTTAGATTTGTTTGGCTTAAAAAACAGGTTTAAATTAGTTCAGGGGATTAGAAGAAATAAAATCTACAATTTTTATGCCCTAAATATCTTTTAAAACCTTGGGTCAATTGTGAAATGATACCTAAAACTAAAAGATATGGAGATATTTTCCCTAACTTATTTTATAAAATTATCTTTTGCAGTAAATTTATTATTTTCTTAGAAATAGTTTCTTCTAGACAATTTTTTCTAGGGATCCAAATGGGACCTATAAGATATTATGCTTGGGTACTTCAAAACAATTTTCCAAAATATGCAAATCACTTATTTTAATAATTTGACGTACCTAAGAGGACCCAAATAAATGACACGAATACCCTTGCTTGTTCTAGGTGGGTCAAATTATTGAACTGTCCTTCACTTTAAAGTTCCCAACCCTGAATATGTATATTTTTAAAAATAACTTTTGAGGCAACATTAGAGTGAAATAAAACTAAAAAATAAATCTTTTAAAGTTAATTAGGATCTTTGAACTTATGTTTTGACCTTTTAAATTATATTTTTTTAGAAATATTATCATCATTATTTTAGCCTTATCTCAATCCCAATAAAAAAAAATCTCAAATCCCATCTTTAGAGTTTTTCTCCCCTCTTTTTTCTTTTTGGGGAAGATCATCAACATCATCAAACCAATTGAATCAATTTTTTCAAAAAAATATTACTTTAACAATATCATTTTCACACAAGTATCTCTTCAATTGTTGTGAAAAAATAGTCAATATGGCATCCGTAAATGAGGCATGGTATTTTAGTAATTTGATTTTCAAATAAGTGGTGCCATATAATCATAATGTTTTGGATTTCAAACCTATCACAAGAGTTTGTAATGCAACGCACATGTTCGGGGTTGAGAACCTTGACGAAGCGAGGTAATACTTTAACCAGATAAGCTAGGTGAACCTGCCTTCTAGGAAACCAATTCGGATTGGTGATTCGACTAATTCGATAAATATTTAAAAAAGTTTGAAAAAGTAAGAGCGAAAAATAATAAAAAATATGAATTGACTAAATAAGACGATCCAAATTTCCCGGTTCCCTAACATAATAAGCCCGTTCACCTAAGGGAACTTGATTATGCACGAATTGACCTGGTTCTTTGTTTTGATTAGAAATTGGGTCAGTTCTCACCAATTCCCAATCCAGATAAGTGATTTATAATCCCAATCGGTGGGTTTTGAATCGCTGAAGCGAGATAAACAAGGATTAACCTTTCAAGTGCTTGGCTGCCTACACTCAATGTATTTCCCCTCCCTCAAGAAACCTTGGAAAATAATAGGTGTGTTCTTTGAATGAGGTTTATATAAGGTGCCCACTTTATAGTATACGAGTAAGAGGCACATCTAAAAATTTGCTGGAGATATAATTTTGGTATCATAAACCGTATGATGTTTTCAAAATCCATATTTAGGCCTGATTATAAAATTTAAAAATCCAAAAATAGTATAGATTGAGCAGATCTATAAATACTTAAAAAAACCAGATAACTTGTTATAAGATGTATTAATTTTAGGATTTGAAATTATCTTTTTATGTATATCTATCGAGATGATCAATTAGAAGGTTTTCCAACTTTGAAACCCTTTTTTCTACTAGATTTGAGATGCATCTTACTTCTTTAATATAAAGTTGAAACCTTATATAAACCTTTTCATTTCTTAATTGAATATTTGTGGGTCATATCTAGATGGACTTATGAGAAAAATCTAGAGCTAAAAAATGCTCTAAACTAGTTTTGGAAAAGTTCTTCATGAGTCAGCGGGTGCAAGAGCCCACTGACTCACCAGCGTCCATCTTCATGGGTCACCATCGTTGTAAAAAACTCTCAATGTTTATACAATGTAAATATGTTTTTTAAAAAAATCACATTTTAAATAGAAAAATTATATTTTTTATTTATGTTCATGATCATCTTAACTTAGATCTTGAATCCCTAAATTTTTAGATTAAAAATCCATTTATAAGATGGTTTAAGGGAGGGCCTGGATATGTATAGCATGAGTCGGCTGATTCAAAGAAACCCATTCATTAGTTGTCCCTGAAAAATATACTATGCCGTACTCTCCCTTTGCTTTAAGCAGCTAAAGAGGTTGTGGTTAGGATTTTTAAATTTAAGATTTTGTAACAAACCTAACAATTTAGATACTGAGATCTAATCATCCAAAAGTTCGGTTTTCAATTCGACGTTAAGTTTTTCCAACACTCACACAATTTGGTTGTTGGTATTTTTTCGAATGGGTGTGGTTTGTATAGAGCCGAGGCTCTAAACAAGCAAAGTAAATTACACTTTTAAATAGCATCGAGAAATGTGATTTCAATTCTGAAAATCTTTATGATAGCTTTAAAATATAGTTTCATCTTTAATTGTGAAATTTAAAGCTTAAAAAATAGTGTAGATCGAGTAGATATATAAAAATATTAAGAATTGAACGTCAAAAATTGCATTACAAATTTAAGCTTTAATTTGATTGTTTAGAGCCTCTGCTCTATATAAACTTTTTTCTTTTCTAATATTTTCTTAATTCAAGAGGTTTGCAATCCCAGAATTTGGCGTTGAATAAGAAATTACCCTAGAGAGCAAAGAGAATTTGAACATGTATACTATCATCCCTCGGGAGTATAATTTACTTTTACTCCCTCGATCAAAAGACCTTAATACTAGTTAAGAATTATTAGATTATTATTCTTAAAAAATTAAATTTTGAGTTAGACAACACTTATATCTTATCGTTTAAAGTTTAGATATATCGAAACATTATTTTTTTCAAATGCATAGGTGGTATAATTAGAAAAGGGTTTTTATTGAGGTTAATCTATTGATTGCAAAGGTTACATCCTCAAAATTGGAGATTCTAAAAGTAATGGAATTTTACCCAAAGGTGTAAGTGGACGTTCTATTCTCACCGGGAGGAGAATATCAAAGAATTTTTCAATACTATACTTGGCTACGAGCACATTGTGTATCTACTCCCTCACCCAAAACACCAGCTTAAGAAAATAAATTTGGTATCAAATTTTCAGTACCATATAAGAACTACTAGATGATTATTTTTGAAAAAAAAAAATATTAAATTTTGAGTGTCGTGACACCTAGATCTAGCCCTTCAAAAATTTGACAGTCTCTATTAAATTTTGAGGGAGTCATATTTTCAGTTTATTTCAGATTTTACTAGGATTAGTCTACGAGTTGCACATATTACATCCCTAAAGTATGAGATCCACGTGTTTTTGCACAAGAGAGTAAATAAATAGTATACTCTTACTTGAGGAAAAAAAATATTTTCACTTTTTGAAGAGAGATTATCTAACTATACATATTTAGCGCGCTACTAGGTATTTTTGGTAGAGGGACCAACCATGTAAAAGTTGATATAAGGGTGAGCCCTAAAAAATCAAAGGTGCACCTAAAAAATTCACTAAAAAAAGTTCTTTAAAATATCGTGTCAGATCGATCATCTCGATTTCAAAATATATAGACATATGAAAAAATGGATTTCAAAGTCTTGGACACAGTGCCTCTGCATTTTTGGACGGTCAATATGTAAGTTTTTCAAACATTTTTTTTCTTTTAAGCTCTAAATTTTATAATTAAAAAAATAAATAAATTTTCAAGCCATCACAAAAGACTTTCGGTATCGAAACTATTTGAAGGTAGGCCTTACTTTGATTGTTTAAGGCCTCGGCCTTATACAAACTGCCCCACAAAAAAAGTGCAAATCTCCCGTTCCGCGCCATGTTCCTGTGGACCCAACTGGCATTTGGGATTTATTCTTTACCTCTTCTTCTTCTAAGTTATGCAGTCCACAACTTCGCACAGTTTCCTTGAACCAAATCATTAAACAGGCGTCCACTTTACCCACTGTACAGCCCTCTTCTCATACTTGCGTTTTAGAGAGAGAAAGAGTGAGTTGGCATTTTAGAGAGAGAGAGAGAGCAAACCTCTGCAAAGTGGAAAATCAGCATTTGAGAGTGAGAGAGAGCGAGGTTCTGAAAAAGTTTTCTTCAACCTCTGGACATTCCGACTGTAGAGAGAGAAGTCCTCTCATCAAGGTTCCCTTGATCTCAAAATTCTAACATTAGAGAGAGAGAGAGAGAGAGAGAGAGAGAGAGAGAGAGAGAGAGAGAGGAGGAGGAGTAGTACGTGTAGTAGTGGTTGGTTCGGTCGTACGTAGTAGTAGTACGTACGACCGTAACCGTACCGACCGACCGTACGTTCCGTTACCGTTACCGTAACCGTA